AAAAAAAAAAAAAAAAAAAAATAGAGTCATTTAGGGCCTATAACAAAGGTAGCGAAAGCTAGCATGGTAGCTCTCGTGTGTAATCCCAGCACTTTGGGAGGCTGAGGCAGGCAGATTATTTGAGGTCAGTTCGAGACCAGCCTGACCAACATGGTGAAACCCTACCTCCTCTGAAAATGCAAAAGAAATCAGCCAGGGCGTGGTGGCGTGTGCCTGTAGTTCCAACTACTTGGGAGGCTGAGGGAGGAGAATAACTTGAACCCGGGAGGCGGAGGTTGCATTGAGCCAAAATCACGACACTGCACTCCAGCCTGGGCGACAGAGCGAGACTCTGTCTCAAAAAAACAAAACAAAACAAAAACATGACAGAGTACATAAGCCATCTCCAGGCTGGTTTCTTTAACCAGTCTTCATATAATAATCTCCTCAGGTCCTGTTCTAACCCGACAAAATACAAAACAGTTCCTCGTGTCTTCTTTCAAATATACTAGTCTTCAGCTCATCAGGGTAGCTTGAGTTAGTCCAGGGCGTAATCCCAAAAGCGAAACTGAATGCCAGAATTGATCTCATTTCAACACTCATTCCAGAAATAAAAATTTCTGCTGCAAGTTCAGCTTCTGACTGTGAATTCTTCAGCGCGACTTTTGCAAAGAGCTCTGTTCCAAGAAACTGGCGCCTTAACACAAGCTATCTACTGCTGCACAAAGCGAGGCTGGCTTGGGTCCAGATTCGGCTGGAGAGTGGAAACGCGACGCTGGCCGGCTGTCACAAAGGCAATTTCTGCCGAGAGCAAGCGTTCCTAAGGAGGGGCTGAGGGAGCGCCACGCTCGGACGTAGGGTCTACAAAACCCCAGAGCTAAAGCAGCCCCCAGAGGGCCCTCCAAGGAGAGGCCGGACCCTAGCGCAGGCTCAGTCACCCTTCCAGCTCGAAGCCGGCGCTGGATCATAGCGGCGCGAGGAGAAACCAGTAGAGGCCGAGAAAAGGCGGAAGTAGCAGCTGACGCTCCCCAGACGCTAGGCGCTGACCAGAGACTGATTGTCACCTTAGGACCCGTGATAGGGGCGGGGCGGTGTTGTACCTCAAAGCGCCTGCGCGGAGAGCCGGCTCTCAGGGATCAGACTAGAAGGTGGCTGAGCGGGACGCTGAGCCCCGGAGGCCCACTACGTGCGCAGGCGCACTCAGCGATCCCGGCTTCTCTGCGCACCGGTTCCCTCAAAGGCCTCGGGGCGGGGCCTCTGGGGCCGGGGCAGGGATAAATGCAGAGGGACAGTCCGGCTTTCACTCTCCGCCCGCCGCCCTCCCTGTCCCTGCTATCTCCTCTGATCTACGAAAATCATGCTACCCAACACCGGGTAAGGGGGTGGGAGCGGCGCGGGGAGAGAACCTGTCGGGAGGAGGGCGCGTCTCGGTGGGGCTGCCGTGGATCGCCTGGGCTGGCCGACCCCGTGGTGGGAGTCAAGTAGGCTGCCTGGGCACACTGAGCTGTGGTCCACGCTGGGCTCTGTGCACTGAGAGAATCTGCGGTAATGCGTGAAAAGGAATACAAAGTTTTGTATTATGGGTGCCAGCAGTGTAGAAACCTTTTCCACGGGTAAAGGGCCGAGGTTGAGTCACCCCGCCGCCCCCATTGCCAGCCCTCCCTGGAGTTTGGCAGGAGGACTTGCCTGGCCGAATGCGTGCGAGTTCTAGGTGAAAGGTCGCAGGAGCAGCTCCAGAGTTTAATGAGTTTCCACTTGTTCCGAACGCTCAATTCTCGAGTAATAGTGGAGTGTTTAAAAAGGGATTTCCAAATTAGAAGCAAATTAAACCGATCTGAAAACATGGGTATCTTTTGGGGATTTTTTTTCACCTTAAAAAACTGTGTTAAAATACGTAGCAAATTTGCCATCTTAACCATTTTTTAAGCGTACACTTTAGTAGTGTTAAGTAGATTCATACCATTGTGCGATCTCTAGAACTTTTTTCTTTTTTCTTTTTTCTTTTTTTTTGAGACGGAGCTTCGCTCTTGTTACCCAGGCTGGAGTGCAATGGCGCGATCTCGGCTCACCGCAACCTCCGCCTCCTGGGTTCAGGCAATTCTCCTGCCTCAGCCTCCTGAGTAGCTGGGATTTACAG